TCCCCTCACCCTGAACAGCGCTTCGCGGCCCCATAGGGAGCTCCACCGAAGGCCCCAGCGGCAGGGTTCGTATGGCGGCCCCGCCCCATTCTGGCGCACCCCTCACACGGTTCGTGGCCCCATAGGGAGCTCCGCCGAAGGCCCATGTGGCTGTTCTCGCATGCGTTTCCCGACCCTGGGCAGCGCTTCGTAGCCCCATAGGAAGCTCCACCGAAGGCCCCAGCGGATCCTCTCGCATGCGTTTCCCCCACCCTGGGCAACGCTTCGCGGCCCCATAGGGAGCTCCACCGAAGGCCCCAGTAGTTGCTCTCGCATGCGTTTCCCCCACCCTGGGCAGCGTTTCGTGGCCCCATAGGGAGCTCCACCGAAGGCCCCAGCGGTTGCTATCGCATGCGTTTCCCCCACCCTGGGCAGCGCTTCGTGGCCCCATGGGGAGCCTCACCGAAGGCCCCAGTGGCTGCTCTCACATGCGTTTCCCCCACCCTGGGCAGCGTTCCGTGGCCACATAGGAAGCTCCACCGAAGGCCCCAGTGCTTTCTCTCGCATGCGTTTCCCTCACCCTGGGCAGCGCTCCGTGGCCCCATAGGAAGCTCCACCGAAGGCCCCAGTGGTTGCGCTCGCATGCGGTCCCCCCCCCCCTGGGCAGCGTTTCGTAGCCCCATAGGGAGCTCCACCGAAGGCCCCAGCGGTTGCTCTCGCATGCGTTTCCCCCACCCTGGGCAGCGTTTCGTGGCCCCATAGGGGGGCTCCACCGAACGCCCCAGTGGCTGCTTTCGCATGCGTTTCCCCCGCCCTGGGCAGCGCTTCGTAGCCCCATAGGGAGCTCCACCGAAGGCACCAGTGGTTGCTTTCGCATGCGTTTCCCCCACCCTGGGCAACGTTTCGTGGCCTCAAAGGGAGCTCCACCGAAGGCCCCAGTGACTGCTCTCGCACGCATTTCCCCCACCCTGGGCAGCGCTTCGTAGCCCCATAGGGAGCTCCACCGAAGGCCCCAGTGGTTGCTCTCGCATGCGTTTCCCCCACCCTGGGCAGCGCTCCGTGGCCCCATAGGGAGCTCCACCGAAGGCCCCAGTGGCTGCTCTCGCATGCGTTCCCCCACCCTGGGCAGCGTTTCGTGGCCCCATAGGGAGCTCCACCGAAGGCCCCAGTGGCTGCTCTCGCATGCGGTTCCCCCACCCTGGGCAGCGTTTCGTGGCCCCATAGGGAGCTCCACCGAAGGCCCCAGTGGCTGCTCTCGGTTCCCCCACCCAGGGCAGCGTTCCCCTATAGCCCCAGTGGCTGCTCTCGCATGCGGTTCCCCCACCCAGGGCAGCGCTCCGTGGCCCCATAGGGAGCTCCACCGAAGGCTCCAGTGGTTGCTCTCGCATGCGGTTCCCCCGCCCAGGGCAGCGCTCCGTGGCCACATAGGAAGCTCCACCGAAGGCCACAGTGGCTGCTCTCGCATGCGGTTCCCCCACCCAGGGCAGCGCTTCGTGGCCCCATAAGGGGGTTTCACCGAAGGCCCCAGTGGCTGCTCTCGCATGCGGTCCCCCCGCCCAGGGCAGCGTTTCGTGGCCCCATAGGGGGCTCCACCGAAGGCCCGTGTGGCGCAGTTCGCATGCGGTTCCCCCACCCAGGGCAGCGTTTCGTGGGTCCATAGGGAGCTCCACCGAAGGCCCCAGTGCCTCAGTTCGCATGCGGTTCCCGTACCCAGGGCAGCGCTTCGTGGCCCCATAGGGAGCTCCACCGAAGGCCCGTGTGGCGCAGTTCGCATGCGGTTCCCAGGGCAGCGTTTCGTGGCCCCATGGGGAGCTCCACCGAAGGCCCCAGTGGCGCAGTTCGCATGCGGTTCCCCCACCCAGGGAAGCGTGTCGTGGCCCCATCGGGAGCTCCACCGAAGGCCCCCGTGGCGCAGTTCGCATGTGGTTCCCCCACCCTGGGCAGCGCTTCGTGGCCCCATAGGGAGCTCCACCGAAGGCCCCAGTGGCGCAGTTCGCATGCGGTTCCCGTACCCAGGGCAGCGCTTCGTGGCCCCATAGGGAGCTCCACCGAAGGCCCGCCCCAGTAGCGCAGTTCGCATGCGGTTCCCCCACCCAAGGCAGCGTTTCGTGGCCCCATAGGGAGCTCCACCGAAAGCGGCACCCACAACGCGTTATGAACAATTGCGTATGGTTGGGTCCTTCGCCAGGATATCTGAATTACAATTTTGGTGGTATCTACTCCAACCCATAGATAGTGTACATCATGTATTGTACAGCACCTACTGCTCAACATAGATTGGACCAAGTAATTCGCACCTCATACATTGCCCCATCGAAGTTGCACAACAAAAATTGAAAGAACCATACTGTTGGGGTCCCCGTCGGCCCATGTACGCTGGGCAATCTCAAGTGTGAAATCTGGGCAGCGACCGGGCCGACGGGTGGCGACGAAGCGGCGACGGGTTGGCGGCGGCGGCAACAACGCGGCGGATCCTACAAACGAGCCCAGGCGAAGGATGGCGACGGGGCGGCGACGGGGCCGCGGCGGCGGCAACACGGCGGCGGATCCAACAAACGAGCCCAGACAGCGGGCGGCGGTGAGGCTGCGACCTGCGGCGACGGCGGCAACAAGGCGGCGGACCCAACAAACGAGCCCAGTTCCTCAGAAGACAAGCAAGACCTCCTGAGTGCAAGCAGTGTTTCGGGACCTATACGTACCTAAACGCCCAGGGGTGTGTGCGAGGGACCTGGTCGTGGGTTTGGTGAACGAAACTCCCTCCCTGGGGCGTGGCCGTGGGCGGTGGAATCTGACTGTGGCGGAGAGGGTGTGTCTCCATGCGTGTGCGATTGTTTCCCGATTAGGAGCCCCAGATCGGCAATTTGATACGCACACACACACACACACACACACACACACACACCCTGAGCCCGGAACAAACGCATCATGGGGGGATAGAGGGCCAACAAAACAAGCCAAGAGGGCCCAAAGAGAGCCCAAGACTGCATAAGAGCGCCCAACGTCGCCGAAAGATCGTTCCAAGATGCCCAAAATGGCCCCCAGGCGGAACAAGATGCCCCCAAGACGCCTCCAAGAGGGCTCCCAAGAGGGCCCCTAGAGGCAAAATTGATTGATTTCAGTATGGTGTGTCAAAGATGTTGGCAGTATCGCCGTTTCCGTTTCCCGACGCTCCAAGACGGCCCAAGAGGCCCCCAAGATCGCCCCAAGGCAGCCCAAAAGGTCTCCAAGAGGCCACCAGAACGGCCCAAGAGGGCCCCGAGACGGTCCAAAAGGCCTCCAAGACGGACCAAGACGCCCCCAAGACGGCTCCAAGAGGGGGCCCAGACGGGGGAGGGACGTTTCGAGTCTTCGGCTTCGAAGAGGCCCCCAGGAGGCCCCCAGGAGGCGCCCAGGAGGCCCCCAGGAGGCCCCCTAAGGGGCCCCCACGAGGCCCCCAAGAGGCTCCAGAGAGGACCCCCCCAAAAAAAAACTCCGCAACGGCCCAAAAAAACTGGCCCCCCATCAGGCCCCCGACGGCGCTCCGATAACCTCAAAAGACGCACCCCTGAGGACTCGGGACCCCAAAAAACTCGCGCGCATGGTGGCGAGAGACGGGCCGAGGGCCCTTCGACATACGAGGCCCCCGACACACTTCTATATAAAGGGGTCGGCGAGTGGGGGCGGAAGCCTGTCGGGCTGCCAGGTCTCAGCAAGCACGGCGAGGGTATGTTTCTGCTTCCTGGAAAATGAAAATGAGAAGTTCCCGAGTGCGCGCGCCACGACGGGCAAGCAGCCTAGAAGGGCGCAGGGGCGCGGCAACGACACGTCGGCCGACCGCACCGCACCGCACCGAACGCAGCCGACCGCGAAGCGGCCCGATCCACCGAGCTGCACACGCTTGACCGGCCCATCTTGATCGCTTCGTGAAGCCTCGAATGCTGTGACGGGAAGCCCGGGGACACGGGCCGTCGCTGCCGTGCTGCTTGTTCACAACGTGGACCCCTCTGGAGGTCTCGGCGCATTCCCTGGGACCGGCTCACCAAACGTGAGCCGCCTTTCGGCAGCCGTGGGACCAGGAGGGCCCCGAGAGGCCAGCCGTGCAGGAGAACCTCCCGCCGTGACCGGTTCATCGCGCGAGGGGATCATGGGGAAACCAGCAGGCACGATACCGCTACTCCCCAGGCCTCTCCTTGGAGGCCTGGAAATGGGCACCAACACCAACACAAAGGGCTGCCTCCACTGGGGGAAGATGATCCTAAATTCCGGTGTTAGAGGTAATATTTCGGACACCTTGAAGCCAGAACATTACCACCATCACCGAGATCGGGGTCGTCTTCCCTCGGTGGAGGCACGCCGCCAAAATTGGTGTTGGTGTCAACCTCTAGGTCTGCGGTCTCCCGAGGCGCGTCCTGACCAGCACAGGAAGCCGGCAACGGGCGTACGCCTCGCCATCGCCCGGACGTCCATTCCCTGTGCTTTTTTTTTGGTTTCGTGCGTGGCTTTTTCGCCAGATGATCAAGGATGCTCTTCGATGGCCCTCGCAGAAGGAAAAACGCACACGTCCGAGCGATGCCAAGACGCGACCAACCACGCGCACAGGAACACGGCATCCGCGAGTCCGCGAGTGCAGCCTCGCGGCACGAGCGCTCGCGCGGGGCGCACCCTCGAGGCCGGCGTGGCTTCGCGCACGTGCACGTCCCTCCCCTCGCCCCTGGCAGGAGTCGAGGCGACTCCAGCCGTGGCGACGAGGCCCCCCGGGCGGCCCAGAGAGGCGAGCACGGGACAAGGGCAGCGGCAGCGGGTGCCCACCTCTTCCTTCTCGGAGGCCTGGGGGCGCATACGTCGGCCCCCGGCCCTCTCTCCCCGAGGCGCCTCCAGGCCACAAGTGGGGTGCGAATCCGGCCGTGGCAGCGAGAGCCCCCCCCCCCCCGGGGACCAGCAGGCCTCGGAGCTCGAGAAATTCTCGAAGCGGCCACGACGCGAGGGGGGGTCTGGGGGCTGCTCCCGCCGGCCAGAGCGGCAGCCCCGGGGGGGGGGCGGGCCCAGCGCGAGCGGGTCGAACTGGCAGCCCATGGAGTCGCACTTCCTGGCGCACTCGTCGCCAACGCACCTCTCGAGGGGAGGGGGAGGGGGGGGAGGGGCTCCCCCTGGGGGGCCCCTACACCTACCCCCCACGAGTTCTGAGGGGGAGGGTGGGGTTCATTTCATTCGGGAGCTCCCGAGCGAAGTGAATCCCGCCCTCCCCCTCAGAACTCGTGGGGGGTAGGGGTAGGGTTCGCATGTGGCCGCCTTATCACCGCCATGAGCGTGACCCGCAGGGCCCTCAGATCAGCGGATCCCATAACTCTTCCGGTCGCGACCGACGAGATCGGTCGCTGCCGCCGTTGCTTCAAGATTCCGCATCGGTCGCGACCGCGTTGCTTGAAAATCTGCCGCGACCGATGTTGGAGTCGGCCGCGATCGGTCGCGACCGATTTGGAGTGCCGATCGGAGGCAATCGATGGCGACAGAAACAATCCCGTGTCCAATGATCTGAGAGGGGAGGAGGGAGAGGGTCGGGGGAGACGACCGGGTAGGCTAGCAAAGGGCAGGGTAGCGAATCAGCTCACGAAGCTGGTTTCCGCTGGCGCCTCCTGACGCCGGAGGCGCCCATATATCGAGGAATGGGCCTAGTGGCGGGGCCGAAACTGGCTGCATGCAGCAGCTTCCGTACCCCCCCTCTCCCTGGCCTGTACCCTTTCGTCCCGCCCGAGTGGGGTGGACCCAGAACACCCCCCGCGTCGTGACGAAATCTCGACGGGAGGCCATGGATGCCCCCATGGGGGGCCTCGTCAGGCCCATGCACAGTCAAGCAGCGACTCTGGATGATAAGCCACGTCGTGAAACATGATCGACCCACGAACCTGGAAAGGAATATAGAAATGTAAGGCATGGCAACGATTCAAAGACACTTGATTGGGCGACGGGCAAATGCAGTGCTGAATGTACAGATCTTGATGTACTTTCCTGAGGGCTGTGCTGTGCTGGCCGTGCTGAACTGCGATGTGACATGCCGCGACTGTGCTCTATATATAGCGTTGTGGATCGAGTCCTCCCTGGCATCCGAGTCCTGACCGAACTGATCTGGATCTTAAGCTCGAGCTGCCTGAGCAGACGGTAGCTGTCCCAGAACTAATCGACAGAGGGGACATGCCAGCAGGACGCGCCGCGGAACGTCCCAAGGGACGCGCCAGGCGACGTGCCAGGAGACGTGCCATGGACACGCACCGCGGGACGTGCCAAGGAGACGCGCTACGGAACGTGCCAATGGACGCGCACCGCGCGACGTGCCAGGGGGACTCGCCACCGGACGCTCCGCGGAACGTGCCAGGCAACATGCCAAGCTGCAATGCTCTCAAGGTATCGATATTGATGTACCGTGCCGAGGGCTGTGCTGTGCCTGGGCGACCTGGACACGTGAAAGCACGCGTTTCGCTCAAGACGTTCTCAGCACATCCTCACGCTAGACATCCGCCTGGGCAACCTGGACACGTGCAAACAAGCGTCTCGATCGAGACTTCCTCGACACATCCTCATGCTAGACATCTGCCTGGGCGACCTGGACAAGTGAAAACAATCCTCTGGTTGGAGAAATCCTCAACAAATCCTCATGCTACACATCTGTCTGGGCAACCTGGAGGCGTGAAACCAAGAGTCTCGCTCGAGACATCCTCAAGACCTGGGCACGTGAAAACAAGCATTTCACTTGAGAGATCCTCTGAATTCATGTCCCCAGGAGAGGACAATCTTTAACACAAAACAAGCGTTTCGCTCGAGACGTCCTCAACAAATTCTGAAAAACAAGCGTTTCGCTAGGGACATCCTCAAATCTTCATTCGCCGGCCCTACGCGACCTTGTATTTATCGCAAAAGAAATTCGCCGGCCCTACAGCCGTCAGATCTGGAGGCAAACCCCTAAAAGAGAACCCTGGGCCTGCGCCCTTTCCGGGAAAAAAAAGTCTCGGCGGGAGCTCTTCTGCTGCTCTCGGCCTCTCTGGGGGGAGCCTCGCCAGGCCCCGGGCCTGCCAAGCGGGTCCCCAGGTGCTGGGTCGAGACTTCTGGGGGCCCACGTCATGGAAGAAGCATGGCGTCGGGGGCCAGCCTGCCATCGCTCGGACGTCCATTCCCAGTGCATGCTTCGGTTTCGTGCGTGTCATGTTTCGCGAGACGATCCAGGATGCTCCTCGATGGAACCCGCCGCAACAAGATGCACACGCCCGAGCGATGCCAAGCTCGGGAGCGAGGAGGAGACAACCACCGCCGCTGGGCCGAGGGAGACGCCCCTGGCGCCCGCCCGAGGCTGGCCCCGAACCCGCCGGCGGCGAGGACCTGCGCGCGGCGCTCGGCTTCGAGCGCCGCGCGCAGGCGGGCCGCCTCCCCACCCTGATCACTGGATGCCATACACTCGACCAGGATAGTAAGGATGCGCGGAAAGGATGCAAGGGCCTTGGAACGCCATGTTGACGTTTGCCGTGCGGAGCGCAGCAGAGTGCCGAAGGATGCCGAATACCGAAGGGGCAAGGACGCGAGGGTAGCCTTGGAAAGTTGCCCCATCCTTACTGTCATGATTGACTGCAATTGTACTTACTTCTGTCGGAGAGTCCCCATAGGCAACACGCTTCCAGACGGCCCGCGACGCGTTCAAGACTCCCCCAGCGGCCACCAAGAAACCTCACCTGCCGAACGCAGAGCCTGATACAAAAAACAGCCGCCGCCCCTGCAGCCCCGCACCGCGAAAGACCACCCTGCCAATCGACAACGGCGCGCAAGATGGGCCGGCGGAATGAGCGAAGCGATTGAATCATACAAATTCCCTTTGGCGGCCGCGAGCGGCGAGATCAGTCGCTGCCGATGCTGCTTCAAGTTCGAGTGTCGGACGCGACCGACCTGCTTCAGAATCGCTCGCGGCGACCGACCCGTCGCGACCGACGGGGAGGGCCGATCGCTCGCTGCCGCTCGCGCCCGAGAAAACGTGACGACCAGTGGCCGGGGCCGGCAGAGCCGCGCTGGGCCCCGGGGCTCTGCGGGCCCGGGTCGGCGCAGACCCGCGCCCGTCGGGCCGCGCAGGCTCCTGCGAGACCGCCTACGAGATCATCCTGCAGGAGATCCTGCGCCCCGATCCGGGTCGGTGCACAGCCCCCCCTCTGCGGGACGGAAGGGGCCCAGGGACACACAGCTGGACGGACACGGGTCCCAGGATTCCCCACACGTTCACCCATTTTCTGGACTCTTCCGGCTCCCCCCCATAATGTTCGATCGACGCGATGCTCTGTGCCTGCCTGTGTGTGTGCTCTGCCGCCACGACTGGGCCCCCGTCTGCGTCGGCCCCCGTCTCCTCGTGCAGCTCGACGGGCCCCCCGTGCGCGCGCGGCCGGCTCCGCTCGCCTCCGATCCAGCCCGTGCCGCGCCTCCCGCTCAGGAGAGGGAAGAGAAAGCAAAAAACAAGCAACGACTAACAGAAAAATGCACAAACAGAAACTTGTGGCGCTCCGCGCGGATTTCCTGGATCTGCGCTGGACCCCCCTCCCCGACGCGCGGAGCGCGCCAGGGGCGGCGCCGGAGGCGCCGCCAGGGCGCTCCAGCGCGGACCCCAGAAATCCGCGCAGAGCGCCGAGAGTTTCTGTTCATATGTGTGCAAATGTTTTTTCTTCGATTGCTGCCGCTGCCTCAGTAGCGCGTGCGGGCCCACTGGGCGCACGCCAGCGGGGGGCGGCACGAGCAGCTCGGCGGCGTGCCCTCGCAGGCCTAAAGGGCTGGCACAAACACCAACATCGGCGGCGCGACTCCGCCGAGGGCAGGCGCTCCCGGCCTCGGGTGATGATGACAACATGCGGGCTTCCTGGGTGGCCGAACGAGGACGACCAGCACCAACATTCGGGCGAGTGGTAATGTGGGGTGACCCAAATTCGGCGGTGGACAAACCTCCCTTTCGTAAACCTCCCCTTAGCAAAAAAGGACCTTGGGCCGAAATCGAAGGACCTGGACCCGCTAGAATGACGGCCGCGACGCCCTCTCGCGAACCGAAAACGGCCAATTCCTTGATCGACGTGTCAGGGTAGGAGGTCTGCCCACCTCCGACAAATGGGGGGTGAAAAGAAGAACCCTTTTCTTCACCCCCCGATCGCCTCGAGAAGACGCGGCGGCAGCGCCCTGCGCGCCCGGGTCTGGGCCCCCCGCGCCCCCCCCCCCTTCCTCGAGCCGCGCACGAAGGGTGCCCCTCTGGCCCTCCGACTCTGCCTCCTAGGAGGAGGAGGAGGAGGCGGAGGAGGAGGAGGAGGAGGAGGAGGAGGACGAGGAAGAGGAGGCGAAGGAGGAGGAGGAGGAGGAGGACCTATTTACCGGGGCCGCTCTGGCGCGAGGCCGAGCGGAGCTGCGGCAGACGTCGCCCCCGCAGGCTCGCCACGAAGCCCCACCGCGCCGTGGAGCGCAGCGGGGCGGGAGGTCCCTCCCAGGGGGCCCCCGCGGGGCCCCGCATGAGAGGGCGCCATCGCCGGGCCCCGCGGAAGGGGGGCCTTCTCCGCGGGTGCTCGGGAGGAGGCCCTGGGATCTAGGCCTCCTGGATGGGGTCGGAGCAGATGGGGTCGGAGGATCGCGCCGCATCGCCGGCGATGCGGCTCGATGTGGAGCCCGATTTGCTTCATGGATCATCTCCCCTGTGGCTGCAGACCCACGAGCTGGCGTTGGTGCCCGTATTCAAGCCTCCAGCCCTTGCCAGCCAGCGGCGCGCCGAGAGCGGAGTGAGAGGGGGCGAGCCTTCTCACAGGGCGGCGGGACTTCTCAGAGGCCCTCCTGCCTTCTGGGAAGCCGTCTGTGTCTCTGGAGAATGATTGGAGAACTTCTCACAGGCTGGAGGCATTCCGAGCCAACTGAGAAGGCCCGCCCCCTGACTTCCCCGCTGGGCTCGCATCAGGCCGGTTGGGGGACCCCGTCCGCACGTCACACATTCGCCTGATGATGGGTTCGTGCTTATCAGGGCCAAGGCAAGCCAGGAGAAAGCACATGATAAAGCTGATGCTCGACAGAAATGCTGCCCCTGGCAGCACACTTGAGATGAATCCCAAAGAATGTACACATGGCACCCTCTCAAACTTACAGTCGGCCCGAATCATAAGGACGCGCTATAAGAATGCAAGGGCCTTGGAAGGCCATCTCGAAGCTTTTTCGGGCGGGGCGCGGCCAACGAAAGTGGCCAAGGATGGACCGAGGAGGGAAGGATGCAAGGGTACCCTTGGGAAGGTTGCCTACACTTACTATGCGGGTCGACTGTATTGTCCCAGGCTCAGACCAAAAAAAATGGCTGCTCGTCCCTGACCCCAGGAAGGCTGAACTGCCTTCGTGGGCGCAGGAGCTACTCTGGCAGAACGAGCAGGCGTTTGCCCAGAAGGCGGCTGCGTCACACGCGCAATCTGAAAGACGGCGCGCGTGTCGACAGCAGGTTCCCGCGGGACTGCCTCGCGAGCGGCGGCCACCCCGCCTCCTGTTACAACCGGGGCGTGCCTGCGGGATGCACGCCGAGCTTCGCGGAAAGCACGGACGGCAGCAAGGTGGCACTGGTCGCCCTACAACACACCTCGACGGGAAGGACATCGTGAGGAGATGCGCTCAAGCTTCGCTCCAGGAATCACGGAGCATCCGGTGGCCCCCCTCTCCAGGAGCACGCGCGGAACAGCAGGAGAACCTGGAAATCCAGGCACGCGCGTATCGTTAACGCGACCGCCTGCTCCTCTGATCCGCCAGCGTGCCCCGAGGCACAAGTTGTGTCCGTCGTTGGCCCTGAGTGAATGAATATGAAGGGACCCGAGAGGCCCAAACCAGGCCACAAGAGGCCCCCAAGAAGCCCGTTAGAGGCCCCAAAGAAATGCCACAAAACCGTCTCTGAGATGCTTCTGAGAGGCATCCCAAGAGATCACCACGGGCATCCAAGAGGCCTCTGGCCTACGACCAAGGCACGGTGGCAGAATGGGCCGAAGGACACTAATTACCCAGACATGCGATGCCCTGATTTCTTCAATACGGGGTCCCTGAAGTCCCGACCCTCTCCCTGCGGTCGACTTTTCATCCCGAGACGCCTGTCGACGGCCCCCGGATCAGGCGAGGGCCCCCCGAGGCCGAGGAGGACCAAAAAAACTCCCGTCGTGAGCCTGTCGCGACGCGAGCAGGTCTGGGCTGACACGCGCCCCTCAGGGCGGTGCCCCAGGTCACCCCACTTCGCGCACCATGCCCCGCGGTGCGCGGTGGTCTTCGCGCCCTCGCGCCGCCGCCCTGGAGAAGGGCACGCCCCAAACCCAGGCCTCGCTTCCGCGCCCCTGGGGGTGACCTGCGGCAGGCTCGTGTCGGGTTGACTTTGGCACTGCTTCCTTATACCGCGGAAGTCGTTCCACTCTGAACGATCGGTCGTTTCCAACAGGTCAACATCGACCGGCTCTGGGTCGCTGGCGGCGTCCAGCGTCGAACGCCGGCGGCGGGGTCGCCGCTGGTCGACACGGCGCGAACCCGCCGTGGGTGCCGTGTGGGTGCGCGCCCTGCCGCAACGGGCCCCGCTCCTGCCCCCGCCCTCCCGCTGCTGCCGCGCCCGCCCCGCGGGCGCGCTTCTCGGGCTCCGAGCTGGCGCACGCGTGCAGCGACATGGACTGGGTCTCCTGGCGCAGGAGGTGTGTCGCGTGCACCGGCGTCTGGGGGAGGTGGGGCGCTTCGGGCTGCGCACAGGGCACCCCCCGCATGTAGCCCAAGCTGCCGAGCTGGCCTCAACGGATCCCCCGAGGAGTCCCGGCTGGACTCAGGATGCCCCCCGAGGAGCCCGGGGCGGTCTCAACAGTCCCAACCCTGGGGCGCGGAAGGCCACCTGGGGACGCCGCCAGAAGCGGCGCCCAGGGTGTTCTGGGACTGCGCCGGACTACCCGGGGGGCCTGCTGGGGCCAGCTGGGGCTACTCTAAAGTCGGGGCTGTCCCTCTACGGGAGGAACATTTAACGACAGTAGAAAAATAGTCTGGGGACGATTTTGTGACTACTTTTGACCATTTGGGGGCATTCTTGGGGTATTCCTGTATTTTGCGCCAAGAACCCCCATATAGGGGGACAAGCCCGACCTAAGACTACGCAGGGGGGCTGTTGAGGCCAGCGGGGACTGCCTGGGGGGGCCGCCTGTGCGCAAAACCCGAAGCGCCTGGCCAGTCCGGGGCACGCGCCGCGGGGCTGCCCCGCGGCGGTCCGGTGCGCTCTCCCGCGGTCCTCCCCCAGGCGTGCGCGGGCGTGCGCGGCGGCTGTCCCCGTGGCTACAATCAACCAGTTTTGTACGCATACGCGATAAGGATGCAAGGGCCTTGGACGCCCATTTCGAAGCTTTTCGAGCGGGGCGCGGCCGGCGAAAGAGGCGAAGGATGGACCGAGGATGCAAGGACCATGATAATCTGTTCCTATCTACTTACCTAACAGCGAAGACCGATAGGTTTCTAATGGTCTCAAAAGAAAATATCATGACTCCCCAGGGGAGTCCGGGCAAGATCCGGGGAGAATCCGCGGAAGTCGTTTTAAGCAAACAGTTGCACACTTCGTGGTCTTCGAGGTCCCAGAACTCCACTCCCGGGCCACATTCTGAATGCCCGGAGCCAACTGTAGGCCACTTCGTGTTTTTCGAGTTGAAGTCCATTCCCGGGCCACATTTTGAATGCCCGGATCCAACTGTAAGCCACTTCGTGTTTTTCGAGTTACTGAACTCCATTCCCGGGCCACATATTGAATGCCCGGAGCCAACTGTAGTCCACTTCGTGCTCTCCGAGTTCCCCGAACTCCATTCCCGGGTCAAATTTTGAATGCCCGGAGCCAACTGTAGTCCACTTCGTGTTTTTCGAGTCCCCAGAACTCCATTCCCGGGCCACATTTTGAATGCCCGGAGCCAACTGTAAGCCAGTTCGTGTTTTTCGAGTTCCCAGAACTCCATTCCCCGGGCCACATTTTGAATGCCCGGAGCCAACTGTAGGAGGATCAGGGGCAAGAGCACGAGGAGGAGGAGGACGAGCAAGACGAGGAGGACGAGGACGAGCACGAGGAGGAGGAGGAGGAGCAGGAGAAGGAGGACGAGCACGAGGAGGAGGAGGAGGACGAGCAGGAGGAGGAAGACGAGCAGGAGGAGGAGGACGACCAGGAGGACGAGGAGGAGGAGGAGGAGGAGGAGGAGGAGGAGGAGGAGGAGGAGGAGGGGAGGGGGAGGACGACCAGGAGGAGGAGGAGGAGGGGAGGGCGGCCGGCTGCCCCGGCCGGCTGCCCCGGCCGGCTGCCCCGACCGGCCACATTTTCGATGCCCGGAGCCAACTGTAGGCCACTTCGTGGTCTTCGCGTTCCCGGAACTCCATTCCTGGGCATGGTTTTGAATGCCCGGAGCCAACTGTAGGCCACTTCGTGTTCTTCGAGTTCCGAGAACTCCACTCCCGGGCAACTTTTTGAATGCTGAGGCAGGCTGATGCTGAGGCTGAGGCAGGCTGAGGCTGAGGCACGCTGAGGCTGAGGCCGAGGCTGAAGGCAGACTGAGGCTGAGGCTGAAGCAGGCTGAGGCTGACGCTCAGGCTGAGGTTGAGGCTGAAGCAGGCTGATGCTGACGCAGGCTGAGGCTGAGGCTGAGGCTGATGCAGGCTGAGGCTGACGCAGGCTGAGGCTGGGGCCGAGGCTGAAGGCAGACTGAGGCTGAGGCTGAAGCAGGTTGAGGCTGAGGCAGGCTGAGGCTGAGGCTGAGGCTGAGGCTGGCTGAGGCTGAGGCAGGCTGAGGCTGAGGCTGGGGCTGAGGCTGAGGCTGAGGCTGAGGCTGAGGCAGGCTGAGGCTGAGGCCGAGGCTGCAGGCAGACTGAGGCTGAGGCTGAAGAAGGCTGAGGCTGAGGCTGAGGCTGAGGCAAGCTGATGCTGAGGCAGGCTGAGGCTAAGGCTGAGGCTGATGCAGGCTGAGGCTGAGGCAGGCTGAGGCTGAGGCCGAGGCCGACGGCAGACTGAGGCTGAGGCTGAAGCAGGCTGAGGCTGAGGCAGAGGCAGGCTGAGGCTGAGGCTGAGGCAGGCTGATGCTGAGGCAGGCTGAGGCTGAGGCTGAGGCTGATGCAGGCTGAGGCTGAGGCAGGCTGAGGCTGAGGCCGAGGCTGAAGGCAGACTGAGGCTGAGGCTGCTGAGGCTGAGGCTGCAGGCTGAGGCTGAGGCTGAGGCTGAGGCTGAGGCAGGCTGAGGCTGAGGCTGAGGCAGGCCGAGGCTGAGGCTGTGACTGCGACTGCCGTTGCCACTGCGACTGTCATCGCGAATGCGACTACGACTGCGAGAACAGCAAAATTCGACAACTGTATTCTCATGTGAATATTAAGGGGACTGCTTCCAGATATGCTCCTACACATCCCTGTGAGGTTGCTTTGCCGGGATAATTAAACTTTTCCTAACTATTTAGAGCGGTGCCGATACATTCAGATCCGCCTATCCAAGTAGAGCTTGGTGAACGAAATAGAGCCTTTGCCTGAACCGACATGTTTCAAATATGTTCTTCTGTAAACAACAAACCCTATCTATTTAGATCGGTTGATTTTCCAAGAGGCCCAACGTGGGTGTCAGAAAAAGCCGAACTGGTGCTCCGAGAAATCATGATTGTTTGCCGATTCGCATGGCTCAACATCGTCTACATGAGGCAGCGGCCAAAGGCCCCTCGCATACATGAGGCAGCGGCCAGGGGCTCCTTGTCTAAGGAGCCCTTCGGCGCGAGGGAGGAGGGAGGGGGGTATGTTTCCGCAGCTGTTTGCGGATCCGATGCACATGTAAGCTCGGAGCTAAGCGCTCGCGCACCGCGCGACGCGCCCCGTTGCCCCGCCGAGAGATGGCCGCCTGGCGCGAGTGCCCCAGGGCCAAGTGCATCAGCGATCTCCAAGCGCTCACGGATCTGCGCAAGATGCACGCGCCCAGCATCATCCGCTACCAGGGGCAGAGCGACGTCGAGGAGACGGCGCAACTTAACAAAGCTTTCTTGGCCGACTTGGCGGCCCTGACGCCGCGCATGCCCGCGCCGCTTCTCGCCAAGGCCGCCAAGGGCCACTCGCCTGAGCTCTCGAAGCCCGAGCGGGCGAGTCGGGCGAACGCCGCGAAGCAGGCGACGCAGCACTGCCACAAGCATAAGGACGTCAAGAAGCTGGCTCCCGCGACTACCGCCGTCGCCCGCGCGCTGCAGCAACGCGGCCGCGAGGGGGCGCCGACTCTGCCGATTGATGCTCGGCCGTCGGCGGCCCAGGCCAGCGGCGCGCGCGGGCCCGCGCTGCGCAGCCCCCCGAGCGCGAGCGAGATCGCGGCAATGTGCGGGCACAGCGACACCCCGCGCACGCCGGCCAGGAGGGCGTCGGTTGCCCCGGGCAGCCCGAGCCCGAGCTCGAGCGCAGCCCTGACTAGAGGAGGAGGTCGACGCGGAAGCAGTCGCCCGTGGACTTGCCGACGCCCCCCGCGGCCGAGAAGCCCTCGCCGGAGCGCGCTAGCGTCCGCGAGGTGGACTGCAACCGAATGAAGCTCAAGGAGACCGACGACAGCGGGGAACAAAGGGGGCGCGACTTGGCCCCTGGCGAGAAGGGGGCGCGCGCGGCCACCCTCGCCGACGGCCCGACGTGGACGTCGGACGCCACCAACGCTGACTTCGCAGCGCGGAAGAAAAAGCCGCCCGCGAATAGGAAGCCGGCCGTCGATAAGACGAGCGGGAGCGATAGGAAGCTTGCAGCGGCGACAGGCGCCTGGCGCGTCGAGGACGAGGACCAGACCATGGCCGACGAGGAGGGCGAGGGCGACGAGGGGGCGGGGATGGACACGGCCGACGAGGCCGAGGCGCCCGAGGAGGACGACGACGCCGAGCACATCGCACTCGGCATGAAGGGCGCGCCCCCGATGCCCGCGGCCGCCAGGGCGAAGCCCGCGGCCGCCGAACTCATGGCGAAGCCCGCGGTCGCCGAGCTTCCGAAGGCGAAGCCCGCGGCCGCCGACCCCGGCAAATTCACTAGCGAGAAAGGCCGCGCGCTCGACTACAAGACCGACTTCGACAGCGCGACGCACCGCAGGAAGAGCCACTACGCGGGTCCCCGCGCGAAGGGCGGATCGCAGCTCATCCCCTCCGGGGGGGTGTGCTGCGCGGCCAGAGGGGTGCATCTTGGAAATCGGCCGCCAGGTGAGGGGGAAGCTCAACGCGGGCAGGGCAGGCCTGCCAGAGGCGAAAAGGTATGCGTTATCCGAGCTACTCGGCGCGCCGCTTGCCATTCGCGGCGGGGCAGTGTAGGACGGCAATGAGATGGGCGAATATCGCGCGCCGCCAGCCGCTCGGCGCGGAAAAGAAAATAAGATGGGGGGGGCAGGGGGCGGGAGAAGGGGAATGGGGCCCCTCGGCCAAGGGGCCCCATGCATCAAGGAAAGTGCAATGTATAGGGGCGCCGCGGGGACATATCTAGCCGTTTTGGCCCCAGCTCAGCCCGCGCGCCCGCGAGCGCCATGCCCATTCGTTGCGACCTCTGCGGCTCGGTGCTGCCAGACTGGCGCGGATGGAAATGGCTGAAGCAAGTTTTTTTGGGCGTGGCCGATGCGGACATGCGGGAAGGGGCGGCGGCACCACTGCCGCTGGAAGTGCTGGCACGACGCGCGCGG